CCCCTTTGGCCCAGCCCACTCCAGCACCTACTTGTCTCACACAGTCTACTCGCTAATCAGGTCACCAGCAACCATCAGCTGGGTGGGGATGCTTACACCATGAGGAATGACATCTGATTGTGACATTTTCACCCCCCAGCTTCCAACTGAAGACCTGGCTGGAATTCTCCCTTCTCGTCAAACACCAAGTATAGGAGAGGAGCTCTTCCCAGTTTTTCCAGGGGTTTGGTTCCATGTTCTATACTTTCTGTTCTCTTTAACTCATTCACAGTGAGTCCTCTAAATATACTTTAGGGACCAGGAGTCAAAAAATCTAAATTATTTTCCATGAAGAATGGCATATCAAGATTTTTTAGGTTATAAAAAGTAGGTCATGGCAAAACTTTCAAATACCCTAAAAATATCCTGAAACTGAATATTCTGAACTTTTTATTTTATTTTTTAGCTGTGCCCTGGTGCATGTGGGATCCTAGTTCCCCAACCAGGAATTAAACCCATGCCCTCTGCATTGGAAGTGCTGAGTCGTAACTACTAGACCACCAAGGAAGTCCCTATTCTGAACTTTTCTAACCCATCAGTTTTAGAGATGAGAGTGTCAGAATCATGCAATGAGAAAGTCCCTGTGCTGGGAAGCAAAGGCCACCCGATGTTGATACTTGAAGTCATCTCACTCAAGGCACTACCCAAGTTGTCATTTGAAAGCTCTGCAAACTAGACCTGGAGATGGGTAGCTACACAGGGCAGAGTTTGTCCACATCCAGGTAAACTGATGCTACTAGGCAGTTGTTTTAGATTATCTTTTATATGCTTTACAAATATGAATTTCCTTCTGCAGAAATAAACTTTAATAGAACCAAATCATACCACTTGAAATCTCCCAACAGCTCCTTTTGATTCCTCCACTGACACCATACATGGCAGGACTCACCGGGCCCTCCAGCCCCTTCTGCCTCATCTTTCAGTCTCTCCCATTAGCTCCTTACCCTGGTTACTCTCCTTCCTCCTGCAGAAGACTTGTTCAGGCTTTTGCCTCTTCCTGGTGAAGTCTTCCCTCACTGCTCTATAATTAACTCTACTCAACCTTGAGATCAAGCTGTACTTCCTCAGAGAAATCTTTTCTGACCACCCTGACCAAGTATAATCTGCATATCATATATGCTGTCAGGACACCTGGCCCTCCTTCGTCACAGCTGTGCATCTTTGCATTTGTTTACTGGGTTTCTGATTACTTACTCTTTCTCTCTGTTGTAAACTCCTACATAATAGAGATGGTGCCTGAAACAAAACTGATGTTCAATAACTATTTATGAGATGAATGAAAATCAGATGTAAAAGTGATTTCTAGACCTTCCAGACTGGCCAGGTTCATGAGAGCTACTCAAATTCTGTTCTCTGGTCTCCTGAGACCAGTGCAAGAGGGGGTGTCCATGGCCATGTGTTGGTGTTCATTGGGAACTGCTCCTGGGTACTTGCCCTGGATGCCTTGAAAGTCTAGATTCCATCATTTGCAGCTTTTATTTACATGATCTTTTCTACACAGCCAACTAACACACAAGTACAGCCCTCCTGAAGGTTCTGGAGTTCTAGGAAGATATTTCTGTTCTACTCCATTTTATGCCTTCAAATTTAGCCCCATGTTTCATGGGGATTTGATTTTTGTTTACTTGTTTTCAGCATGAGCTTCATCTTTCTGAGGTCTAGGGAGTGGTTATACAGCCATGTTCACTGTGTAGTATACTTATGATTTGTGTACTTCTCTGTGTGTTATATTTCCATTTAAAATTTTAAAACATCTTTATTAAGACAATAGCAGAGACAGACTGAGAGAGACAGAGAGAGCCTAAAATATATATCATAAGGGGGAAAAAGAGGATGGTTAACTAAATCACCAGCCACAATGTTAGAAAACAAACAACAAAAGTAATGGTAAGATACAATTTTATACACTAACCAAAATTGATGTTCAATATTAATTTCTTTTTTTTTTCGTTTATTTTTATTAGTTGGAGGCTAATTACTTTACAATATTGTAGTGATTTTTGCCATACATTGACATGAATCAGCCATGGATTTACATAAAACCAGGTAATCATAGAGCAATATACACATATTGTGATTCTATATAATAAAAGAAAATCTTTAAACAGATAATTGAGATTTATTAATACATGTATTTCTCCCTGCCTTTCCTTTGACTGATACTCCCTACCAAAGAGAATTATGTTTGCCTTTTAAGCTTTGTGATCTCTTCTATCTTATTTATACAAGATCAATAGGACAGGGGAGAGAAAGAGTTATAACATCTGGAGAGAAAAGGAGAGCATTTTGTTCCTGGTCACTCCCTCTGAAATGAAGAATCCTGGAACTGGGCAAAAGACAGAGAAAACTAACAAAGGAACCAGAGAGACTGGGGTTACACAACTAGGACCAGACTTGAGTCAGGTCATGGAGGGGAGAGGAGGAGAAAAGGGGAAGAGAGATAAAAGAAGCCACAATTTTTGGATGTTGTAGAGCATTCAGTGGTGCTTAGTGAGAATATTCTGAGCAGCTGTAGAATATGGGACAATTGAAGAGGAGAGAAAAATGGGGATTTTAGAAGTAAGTTGTAGATTATGAAATAGATTGCCTACAATATTTTACAGCAAGGAGATCAAATGAGTCAATCCTAAAGGAAATTAACCCTGAATATTCATTGGAAGGACTGATGCTGAAGCTGAAACTCCAATACTTTGGCTCCCTGATGCAAAGAACCAACACATTAGAAAAGATCCTGATGCTGGGAAAGATTGAAGGCAGGATGAGAAGGAACGACAGAGGATGAGATGGTTGGATGGCATCACCAATTCCATGGACATGAGTTTCAGTAAGCTCTGGGAGTGGTGAAGGACAAGGAAGACTGGTGTGCTACAGTCCATGGTTCACCAAGAGTCAGACACAACTGAGCAACTGAACAACAACAGTATTTTTTAGATACATCAATGCTGGAGTGAGTTTTGGGAGATGCCATTGTCACAGAAACTAAGCCGCAGGGGACTCCAGGAGTTTTTCAGCTGTGTGTGGTTGATATATAACCAAAAGGTCTAAATGGATAGAATTCTAACTCAGCATGGACACCCATGGAAAAGGGTGTAGAATTAGAAGTCTAAAGATAATGTTTCATTTTTATCTGTATGTGTCTGTTAAAATGTTTATATAGCTCATGCAACTTAGTGAATTTTTAAACAATAAATGTAAAAAAGCATTATAGTATGTGTGCTTGGTCATATCCAACTCTTTTGCAACCCCGTGGGCTATAGCCTGCCAGGCTCCTCTGTCCATGGGATTTCCCAGGCAAGAATACTGGAATGGGATGCCATTTCCTGCTCCAGGGGAACTTCCCAACTCAGGGATCGGACCCATATCTCTTGCATCCCCTGCATTGCCAGGCAGATTCTTTACCAACTTTGCCACCTGGGGGAAAAGCATTAGATACTTCTGTCAATTGCAGAACAAGCTGCACTCTGACCTCCCACACTGAGGTGCCACATGGTGGTACATGATCCTGGGCAGGTACACCTGGACAAGACTACTCCCAGCTCTGAGCAGGCGTCCAGTGACTGGGCTGCAAGTTGATGGCATTTGAATAGAGGGATGGAATATGATTGTGGAACCACGGGTGACTTCAATGTTTAAATGCAGCACAGGTGTCCAGACCACTTTCTGCCCCAGGGTGACTCAAAAGAGGTTGCTTAGAAACAAACACAAAATTCTCTGTTCTTGTAAAAACATCCATTTATGCATTCACCAAACACATCTCCAGGGCTCATGCACCAAGCCTTGCAGTGTTGCTTTGAACATCACTTATCCCTCTACTTCTTTTAATGTGTGGGTTTATAGTCTCTAGTTACTAAAAAACAATTTATCCCAAGCTCTCCAGAGTTAGCAAAGCCACGGAGAAAAAGGTGCTAATGAGGAAGAGTGCCTGGCCTTAGGACCCAAACAACTGTCCACAGGCTTATCTTCCTCTCTGAAACCTCCCACTCACTACCTGAGCTGTCTCTCCAGTGCTGACAGGGAGATGTCTACCTGCTTCAGGGTAGCTTTAGCTTCTTCTCTCAACTCTTTACTCTATGGTGTCAGGAGGGCAAGCTTATCAGATGAGTAAACATAAACCATAAAACCCACCATGAGTTCAAGTCCACTCACACAGAAGCTGGGATATAACTGTGATGCTCCTGGGAAGTTCTGGTTCCACAGCCGCTTCTCCATTCAGAATGACAAACTCTGAGTTTACGTCCAGTGGTCATGCTACCAGGACATCCTCATCAAGGCCATACCCTTTCCTCAGATTGATCAGAGGGCAAGAGAGAGGTGTCCTTTAGCCCCCGAATCTTCCGCCCCAGATCCTGATAACATGTGTGCTGCTAAGTTGCTTCAGTTGTGTCCAACTCTTTGTGACCCTATGGACCATAGCCCACCAGGCTCCTCTGTCCATGGGATTCTCCAGGCAAAAATGTTGGAGTGGGTTGCCATGCTCTTTCTCCAGGGTATCTTCCCAACCCAGGGATCAAGCCTGCGTCTCTTACATCTCCTGCATTAGCAGGCAGGTTCTTCACCACTAGCATCACCTGAGAAGCTTAACTTGCATAGGGAAGTTTATTCCCAGCATCCTGGGAGGCAAAAGGGTCCCCAGGGGCCACCAGCCCAGCCTGCTTGTTCATGCCCTGCAGATGTTTCGTCTTGCTGAGAAACAAGGGTAGAGTGGGGAAGGTAGATGAGTTTCTGAGGGAAAAGTGTATATATGAACCAAATAAACAGAAAGTCACTGTGAACTGCATTCAAAGCTTTATTCTTGCCAGAGTTTGGGAGTTGCGCTAACTCTGGTAGGCTGCCTTAATAACAAAGCAAGGTAGAGAGGTGGAGCAATGAGATTTGAATACAGGGAGGGGAGCAGAAGCTCAGGAGTCTCCCAGAAGATAGAGCAGGGTGGTGAGTGCTGGAGCAGAGCTGTTCTTCTGTATTTAACAGTCGCAGTCATCGTCACAATCACAGCATGCAGGACCTCGGGACCTCATGGGAATAATTCCTAGACAACAGCACCCAGAGCCACAGCATCCAGAGCTGCAGCACCCAGAACTGCAGCACCCAGAGTCACAGCATCCGGAATCCTCACAGCCACCAGACGATCCTGAGTTGCAGTCCTGGGGCCGTTGGATCCAGCGTCTCAGGGGACTCACCCCGAAGGTCCGGGGAGCCAGACAGCAGTAGCTGGTGGAACAGGGAGCAGAGCATGGATCAGGGATACAACATGAGGTGACTGAGCCTCTTACAGGAGCCTGAGCATAGTAGGTTTGGGAAGGAGCAGGGGTCTGAACATAGTATGTCTGGGTCTGGCAAGGGGCTGGGGATTTCACATAGGTCGTCTGGCTTGGAGCAGGGCACTTCACAAATGTCTGGCAGGGAGCTGGGTATTTCACATAGGTCGTCTGGCTTGGAGCTGGGCACTTCACGAGGGTCTGGCAAGGAGTTACACATTTCACATAGGTCTTCGTCTGGAATGGAGCTGGGTATTTCACATAGTTTTGAGTTGGACCCAGAGGTGGACATTTCACGTAGGTTTTAGTCAGACATGGACCTGGGCATTTCACAAAGGTTTGAGTTGGACACGGAGGTGAGCATTTCACAAAGGTTTGAGTCGGACATGGAGGTGGGCAGTTTACAGAAGTACATTTGGTACTCTGCACAACCCCCAATCCCGAACCTTTCACGCAAGATGGAGGGAATTGTGTCTGTTTCTGCTGGTCACACATCTTTCTGTGGCTTTGCAAAATCTGAAAAGAAAGTTCTCATTAGATCTAAGAAGGCTTCCAAGGAAACCTGCAGCTTCCCCTTTGGATAAAGTGGCCTGTAAGTGGTAACCTTTTTGAGAAGGTCACAGGCACCAAGATCTGGAGTTAGGGTAGACTCAGAATCAGGAATCCTAGGCTCAGCTCTTGTGACTTTATCTGAGCTGGGTGCCTTTGCATAAGTCACTGCTCACCTGTGGGAATCTGTTTCCAAAATGGAAAATGAAGAGGAAGAGTTTGACAGAGAGATCTCCATGTTTCTACCCAACTCTTCAAGTGACTTGTTTCACCTACACCAACTTCTGCATTATGAATTCACCTGGGGAAATTATCAATTCCCAGCTGATTTCCCCTCCTCACCAAGTCCCCCACAAGAGGCTTCTCTTCTTCCTCCTGCCTGGCCAGCCAGGACCCAGGGATTCCAAATTCACATCACCAGAGGCTGAATCAACCTGAGTCTCAAGCTGATCCTAACAGAGGTAGGACAAATTTGAATAAGTTTCCACCTTTTGCTCTTTGGATCAGTGGTACTATCCTTGCACCTCATTAATGGACCCAAGAGAGGATGGCGCAGCTGAACTCGAAGAGGGAGAGGGTGGCAACCCAGTTCTCTGCAAAACCCTCTCACGCAGAACTAACAGCTGGTCCTCTCCTCTCACCCTCCAGACTCTGAGCTTCCAGCCAGTGACTTCCCTTTGTGTCTCATCCTGACCACCCTCATCCCAAGAGCCAAGTGTCACCAAGGCTCTCCTTCTTTCTGTGTCAGTGTCCCAGGCATAGACTTACCCTCTTTGCTGGTCGAGCAGGACTGGAAGAAGCCAGTGATCTGAGGAACTGGCTGTTGGGGACACCTTTTATAGGGTAGCAATGAAGCAATTTAATGGCATCTGAGTGAAGCATGAGATCACAAGGATGAGACCTGGCATGGCATTGGCGAGATTCCTCCCCAGTATGCTTGGCCCATCATCAGAGGCAAGGCATGTCTCTGCTTGACATTGAATTTTCCTGAACACAAGATAAATGATTCCTATCACTTTCTTCATGAAACTAGTCAGTCTTCTCCTAAGAGTTATGAGAGATGAGATGCCTGGAAGAGCTGCCATGATGAAATGATTTCTATATCACATGAGTCTTCAAGGACTTGTTCCAAGATGTAATTAGGGTCTCAATTCTTCACAAACTGTACTAAAAGCTACACAGAATCTTCCCAGCCTAAGTGATGTGTTTTTTCTGAAGGCTTCCATGGTGCTTCCTTCTGGCCTGAGTTGTTGGGCCCAAAGAGTTTGGCCCTGCAGGCTCTGCCTCAATGTGGCAGCAAAGCATCCCCCAAGAAATGGCTTGTTCTAGGCTGGCAGGTTATTCGAAGTTTCTTGAGGAAACTGGGTGTGTACTTGATGATCCCAGACCCCTGGCTCTATATCTAGGCTGCCTCTCCTCTCCTCCTCATGTGCTATAAACTCCCTCATCCTAGCCTTCCTGGACTTCACTATCAGGTCTAGATCCACAAGGACCTAGAACAGAGGGAATTTAATTGAATTCTTTTTATGTGCCAAAGAGCTCACAATGCATGTTCACTTATGGATGGTCCTGTAACTGAAGCCCCCAAAGATTAAGTTACTCCTTGTCACAAAGCAAATACCAGAGCGAGAGTTCAAACATAGGAGTCTGCTTTCATAAGCCATGGCCTTTATCTCTACAACATATTGCCTCTTATTTCTGGACATAGTATAGTCCCTGAATCTCTAAAACCCCAGGTGGCACTAGTGGTAAAGAACCCACCTGCAAATGCAGGAGACTTAAGAGATGCAGGTTTGATCCTCAAGTTGGGAAGATCCCCTGGAGGAGAGCATGGCAACCCAGTCCAGTATTCTTGTCTGGAGAATCTCATGGACAGAGGAGCTTGGCAGGCTGAGTCCATAGGGTCACAAAGTGAAACAAGTTAGCACCAGCACCTGAATCTCTACTTCCATTCCCTTTCCAGTACAGTAGATATAGGGAGAGAGATGGGAATATATGTATTAAGCACTTATGTTCTTAATGTACTCAATGTACTGCATACTATCCTGGCTTCTTCACCTGTGTTACTTCATTTGATCGTCACAATAACCCTTAAACATAGGCTACGTTAGCCCTGTCTTTTAATATTTATTTATTTGGCTGCATGGAGTTTTAGTTGCATCATGCAGGATCTTTCATGGGCTCCAGAGTGCATGGGCTCAGTAGTTGCAGTGAGCATGCTCAGTTGCCCTGCAGCCTGGGGGATCTTAGCTCCCCAGCCAGGGATTGAACCCACATCCCCTGCATTGGAAGATGGATCCTTAACCACCTGGGAAGTTCCTCTGCCCTGTTTTTAAAGGAAAAGAATCTAAGATCCAAGGCCTAACCACTTCACCAAGGTCATGCCACTGGTAGGCAATGGAGCATCACTTGAATCCAAGCATGTTTCGTTTCAGAGTCACACTCTTCCCATCAGGCCATGCTGGGTTGCCCAGTGTAGATTATCTTAATCCTGAGACTAGCACTGGCTCCAAACTACCACTCCCTTAGATCAGCCAGTCCAGGTCCCACCATGGGCCCTGAGGCCTCTAGGGTAAGAGGTGCTCCTGCATTTGTCCATTAAGGACCCTCAATTTCCCTAAGACCTGTAAGCTCATCAACACCCAGGCCTGACATTGTGCAAACAGAAGAGGAAAGAGATGGTGTTTTTTTGAGGCCAGGTACTTTGCATGGGATAACTCATTAAATTTAGTTCCTACAATAAGTGTCTCAAATAAGTAAACAAACTTGCTCAAGCTCCCATAGCTAGAAGTAGTAGATGTAGAACCCCAGGTTTATATTTGAACCTGGGTTTATATTTCATTTTTTTTTCCTACCACAACAAATTGTTCCTACCACAGCAAATGTTTCAAGTGTTAAAATCCAAAATGCTTTATAACCTTTATTCCTTTAAGTCCTTTATTCCTTTAAGTGCTTTATTGCTTTAAGCGCTTTATTCCTTTAAGTCACTCAACAGACACATTCATTAAGCCCACTATCTTGTACATAGGATGGGACAGCCCAGCTCTACAAGGAAGAAAATACTTTAAAAGTACAGCTATTTTAAGGCATTTTAGAGAGACACTTCCAGGTACAGGTAGAACTCAGCCCTGGTTCTGATTCTGCCACTGCCCTGCAGTGTGATTCCACTGTGCCCTCCATCTCCAGACCTTTCCTTCTTCCACTATGAAATAAAGAGCTAGATGAGGCCCCTCCCCTTCTGGCTATGATATCCTGTGATTATAAGGGCTTGTTCTAGAAAGGAAATATATCCACATCCTAGTGGTCCATGGAGTTATTCCCACTGGACCATAATCCCCATGTGTTGGAGACTGTGGACATGTTCCCTGTATGTCACCTGCCTCAAGCACCGGACATAGGGAACTCTGACTAGATGAATGAATGAATGAATGGGGATGCTTTGCATGGACAGTACAGTCTCAATCATCTTCTGCCCCTGTGTGGTGAGAGCCCATCCTGCTGTTAACCAGTCTTTCCATCTCATGTCATCTGTGAGCTCTGATTGGCAAATGTCCTGCTCTGTGGGGTCAGACTCTACTAATGGGCTTGACATGTTCAGGTAGCACTGACATCCCTGGTGAGAGATACTGTTTCCAGGTGCCACAGGTGGGTGGGTTGTGCCCCACCTATTCTATAGGTGGGAAGGCAAGGCAGAGTTGTCAGATGACTGATGTAAGTGCCAGGATGAGTCACAGGGCTATCCCTACAAGGCCCTGTTTATCTCTTTAGATACAAACTCATTGAATCAGAGACTTTGGACTCAAGCAATAATAGTCCAGTAAACTCACAGTGTAATAGGTAGAGAGAATTGTGAATTCACAGAATAACAGAATCACAGATTTAGAATTCTGGCATCTCTGAGGTGGAGAGTATTAACACAAGTCATAGTGTCTGGTCTTTGCCATAAACTGGGTCAGTACCTGCGTCATTGTCATCTGGCCTAGCTGTTCTTCTTAGGAAGATCTTCAGGTCTTTAGCATTCTCTGCAGTCCCACTGGTTAGCTCATTTCAGGATTTACCACCTGGAGAATCAGCTAACGTATACTAGGTTATCTCTAGAGTTCTTTACAGCATTAGCTGTATGTGCTATAAGGTGTTTGAAGTTGTGCTCCTGAGTGTGTGAACAAAACCAAGATTTCAACCCCAACCAGGAAATCAGAGGGGGAAGTACCCAAGTTGACATGTTCTCTAAGGACAGGGCCTGGATCTCCCCTCTTCTTGTGAGCTTTCTTTGATCAGGGTCTGTGGATGCTCTGAAGGTAAAAATCTGAGTCCTTCCTTTTCTGTGGAAAGAGGAAGTGAGAAGCCACCTCCCAGGAGGTGGAGAGCACAGGAACCTTAAAGTCCAGTGAAAAATGTCACTGCCATGTCTGAGAAGATAGTATGGAGGTCCCCTCCATTAGATCCCGTATCTGCATGAGTATCTGTTCCAGACTCAGCTCTAAGATCCACTCCATCATTAGTCCAGTGACAACTGGGGGTCCCCCCCGAGATGACTGGGAGATTATATTGTAGAGTCATGGAATTGAGGGCTAGTGAGGACATTTACAGGCATCGAGTTAACCCTCTATAACTGAGGTCTGCACAGAAGGAAAGAAACTTACTCAAGGCCACACATCCAGGTAAGAGAAGATCCTAGACAGGAATTTCTGAATCCCATCTAGGGCACATTCCAGTACGTGGTCACGGAGCAGGCCTGTTAAGGAAGCATCATCACCTGGCCTCTTTCTTGCCTCCCTCCCTGCCCTCAAAGCCACCAAGGCTATCATGAGAGAAACCAATTCAAGTCCCCTGAGAAACATCCTCTACAGAACCAAAAGTGTTTTCACATATGTGGGAAAGGGTCACCCAGGATTCCCACTGTGTGAACCTACGGGTTGTTGAAAGATGAAAACCCCAGCCCACAT